CATACAAAGCAGCAAGAAGAGAAGCAACAGCAACAAGAGCAGCAGCAGCAGCAAGAGCAGCAACAGCAGCAGCAGCAGCCGTCTAGACGTGAGGACGCAAACAAGCAGCTAAGGAGACAAAACGCGCAGCGGCCAGAGCAGCAGCAGCAGCACAGGTGGAGAAAGAAGCACAAGCAGCAGCAGCAGCAGCAGCAGGAAGCAGACGACCTGCAGGAGGAAGACGAAGCACAGCTGCTGCTGAAGCAACAGCTGCAGCAGGAGCAGCAGGGGCAGCAGGAGCAGCAGCTTGAGAAGAAGGACCAGCAGCAGCAGCCGCAGCAGAAGGACCAGCAGCAGCAGCAGCAGGAAGAGCAGCAGCAGCAGGACGTCAAGGAAGGCGAAGACACAGAGAAGGAAGGAAAAAGGAGACACCGATTAGGCAGGAGGGACAAGAGCAGCAAACGCAAGCAACAGGAGCAGCAGCAGCAGCAGCAGCAGCAGCAAGAGCAGCGGGAGAAAGAGGCAGCTGACCGTGCTGCAGCAGATGCCCAGAAGCAGAAAGAACTGCAGCAGCAAAAGGAGGAGCAGCAGCAGCAGCACCAACTGCAGGAGCAGCAGCTGCAGAAGCGGCAGCAGCAGCAGGAAGGAGAAGAGCTGTCTCTATCTGCTTTGCTGCTGCCAATGAATGAAGCAGCAGCAGCAGCAGCAGCAGCAGCAGCAGCAGCAGCAAACCCTCTGCTGAATGATGACCAAAAAGAAGATTCTCTTTGCATGCGCTTCCCTACAATAACTAATGGTGCTGCTGCTCCTGCTGCTGCTGTTGCTGCTGCTGCAGTAGCAGCAAGAGCAGCAGCAGCAGCGAAAGACAAGGGTGATGACAAGGGAGCTGCTCGCTCTGCTCCTGCTGCTGCTGCTGCTGCAGCAGAGAAGCAGCAGCCGGCAGCAGCTAAGGAGGCAGCAGAAAAAGGAGGAGAGAAAGGAGACAAAGAAAAGGAGACAGAAGCAGCAGCAGCAGCAGCAGCAGCAGCAAAACCGGCTAATGAAGAAGCAAAGGAGGCAAGACGCCACGGGAGAAGACACGATAGAAAGGAAAGAAAGAAGGAGGCAGCAGCAGCAAAAGAAAAGGAGGCAGCAGCTGCTGCAGCAGCAGCAGCAGCGGCAGCGGAGGAAGCAGCAGCAAAGGAAAAGGAAGCAGCAGCAGCCAAAGAAAAGGAGGCAGCAGCAGCAAAGGAAAAAGAGGCAGCAACAGCAAAGGAAAAGGAGGCAGCAGCAAAAGGGAAGGACACTGGAGCAGCAGCAGCAGCAGCAGCAGCAGCAGCAGCAAAAGAAGAGGATACAGAAGGAGACCTCTTCTTTGCTGCTGATTGCCGCATGCTGCAGGACGGCAACTCACAGCCAGAGCAGCAGCAGCAGCAGAAGCAGCAGCAGCAAGCGAAGCAGCAGCAAGAGAAGCAACAGCAAGAGAAGGAGCAGGAGCAGCAGAGCGCAAAGGAGACACCTAAGGCAGAAGAAGAGAAGACAGATGCTGCCAGGGAGCAGCAGCAGCAGCAGCAGCAGGAGCAGCAGCAGCAGCAGCAGCGGCATCACAGAGGCTTCCGTGGCCGCAAGAAAGCGCAGCAGCCTACTGAAGAAGCAGCAGCAGCAGCAGCAGCAGCACCGACAGCAGCAAGCGAAAAGGAAGCAGCAGCAAAAGAAAAGGAAGCAGCAAAAAAAGGCAAGGAAAAAGCAGCAAAAGAAAAGGAAAAAGCAGCAAAAGACAAGGATGCTGCTGCTGCTGCTGCTACTGATCCTTCACCGCAGCAGAAGCAGCCGCATGCAGCGGATGAGGAAGCAGCAGCTGCTGCAGGCAAGGCAGCAAAAGCATCAGATAAAGGGGCAGCAGCAGCAGCAGGAGCAGGAGCAGCGGCGGCAGCGGCAGCAGCGGCAGCAGCAGCAGCAGCAAAAAATGGCAGCAAGGAGGAAGAGGAGCAGCAGCACAAGAAGAAGAATAAAGGAGACAAGAACAGCAGCAGCAGCAGCAGCAGCAGCAGGAGAAGAAGAGAATTTGAGGTACCCCTTCGTAAGGGCAGCAGCAGCAGCAGCGACAGTCTCTCGCCTCCCCCGTTGCTGCTGCAGCAGCAGCAGCAGCATTTGCTGCTGCAGCAAGAAGGGTCTGCTGCACTAGAGACACCTGCACGCTGCGATGTACGAAGAGTGCTGACGCTGCTGCTGCAGAAAGGAGACAGTCTTCTTGCTGCTGCTAAGTGTCTCCTTTCTGCAGCAGCAGCAAATACTGCAGCAGCAGCAGCAGCAGCAACAGGAGCAGGAACAACTACTGCAGAAGCAGCATTAGCAACAAATACAGCAGCAGCAGCAGCAGCAGCAGCAGCAGCAAATGATGATGTAGATCTACTAGCAGCAGCAGAAGATTTTTAATTAAATAAATAAAAAAGGAGACACTTCTATCTATACAAGGAAACAAAAAAGGAGACAAAAATTAATTAATTAATTAATTAATTAATTAATTAATTAATTAATTAATTAGGGTTAGGTTGTCTCCTTTTTTGTCTCCTTTTGTGTCTTTTATTGTCTCCTTTTTTGTCTCCTTTTTTATACAAAAAGAGACAAAAGAGGAGACACCTTTTTCTCTCCTCTCTTTCTTCCTCTAAACCCTAAACCCTAAACCCTAAACCCTAATAGGGGCCCTTGAGGGGGGCCCTATTAAAGGGTCCATTCAGTTCTTTCTGAAAGATAACAGCAGCAGCAGCAGCAGCAATAGCAGCAACAGTTCAGTAGGAGCAGCAATAGCAGCGGCAGTAGCAGCAACAGTTCAGCAGGAGCAGCAACAGCAGCAGCAGCAGAAGCAGCAGCAGAAGCTCGGGATAAGACAGCTGCGTGCCTATCTGTTGGGGTAGCTAGCTGTAGCTAGCTACACTGTTCCTGCTGCAGCTGCTGCAGCAGGCTGATACGTATTGCTGCTGCTGCTGCTGCTGCTGTTGCTGCTGTTGCTGCTGCAGCATATACACTGTGTTGCATGCAGCTTAGCTAGCTATAGAGGCAGCAGCTAGCCAGCAGCACAGCTAGCTGCAGCAGCAAGAAGTCTTATCTGTATATTGAGGTGTACGTACACTGCAAATAAATCATTTAATTTATTAAAAAATAATAAGAAGCAGCAGAAGACAGCAGCAGCAGCAGCAGCAATGCCAGCTGCAGCAGCAACACCAGCAACAGCAGCAGCAACACCTGCAGCAGCAGCAGCAGGAAGAGCAGCAAAGACGATCTAGACACCAGAGAAGGGAAAGAAATAAATATAAATATAATTTAATATCTATTAATATTCCTGCTGCTGCTGCTGCTGCTGCTGCAGCATCTGTTGCTGCTGCTGCTGCCGCTCTGGGGGTTGTTGAGAGCGGCAGGGGCTGTCGGTGGTGGGGCCCCCCGTTCCTGTTGCTGCTACTCCTGCTGCTGCTGCTGCTGTTGCTGCTGCTGCTGCTGCTGTGTATATTTTATATAGATCTTCTTTTTGCTGCTTCTTTATTAATAACAATTAGCAGCTTTTGTTTGCTGCTGCAGCACTAAAGCAACAACGCGGGCGCCGCTGCCGCCTTCGTAGCAGCAGCATCAGCAGCAGCAACGATCGCAGCAGCAGCAGCAGCAGCAAGAACAGCAGCTGCTGCATTGCCATGATGTCTACGTACTAGAAGCAGAAGCTGCTGCTACAGCTACACCATAAAATGCTGCTGCTGCAGAGCCGCTGCAGCAGCGCAGCAGGGCTGCCGAGTGCAGCAGGAGCAGCAACAGCAACAACAACAACAGCATCTGCTGCAGCTGCATCCCCATCATCATCAGCAGCAGCAACAGCAGCAGCAGCAGCAGAAAAGGGCCTCTTTCCTTGCTTCCTTGAGGAGTCTGTTGTGGGGCCAGTTATACTAGGGGGAGAAAACCCCCTGGCCTCTGAACAGTGCAGCAGCAGCAGCAGCAGCAACTGCAGCAGCAGCAGCTGCTGCTGCTGCTGTAGTTGTAACACTGGTGAACGCAGCAGCAAACAAGATCCACACACAGCAGCAACTGCACACTTGAACGAAGAAGCGACAACAGCAGCAGCAGCAGCAACAGGGACAGCAGCAGCAGCAACAGAAGCAACAAAAGCAGCAGCAGCAGCAGCAGCAAATGGTGGTTCGCCTCATTCATGCCAACAAGTTGGTGCTGCAGGCTCAGCAGCAGCCGCAGCACCACGAACAGCAGCGGATACAACAGCAGCAACAGCAGCAGCAACAGCAGCAGCAGCAGCAGCAGCAACAGCAGCAGCAGCAAGATGCCTCCCTGATATCGCCCTAAGTGATGTTGCATGCATGAAGCAGGTCTTAAGGGCTGTAGCAGCAAGACGTGTATATGCAGCAGCAGCAGCAGCAGCTGCTGCTGCTGCTGCTGCTGGAGATGCCACATATGGTGATTCAGCAGCAGCAGCAGCAGGAGACTCTGGCAGACGCCTGTCTTCTGCAGCAGGGAGAACAGCAGCAGCAAGAGCAGCAGCTGCAGCTGCAGCAGCAGATGCTGCTCTCTTTGCTTCTCATCGTCGTTTGCTGCTGCAGCAGCAAGTTAATCCTGGGCCCTTGCTGCTGCAGCAGCAGCAGCTGCATGCATGCGGCAGCGAGGGTATAGCTAAGCTTCAGCTGTACGTACACCTCAATCGTGCTGCTGTTGCTGCAGGAGACACCATTATAAAGACAGTACGTACTACTACGTCTCCTGTTGCTGCTGTTCTTGCTCCTGCTGCAGCTCCTGCAGCAGCAGCAGCAGCAGAATCAACAGCAGCAGCAGCAGCAGGGTACTACCCGCTGCAGCAGCACAACGAGCCGCTGCGGCTGTGGCTGCTAGAGAGGAGAGGCGCAGCTCGCCGCAGTGTCCTTGAGAGTTTCAGCATCAGCAGCAGCAGCAGCAACAGCAGCAGCAGCGCAGCAGCAGCAGCAGCAACAGAAGGAAGATTAACGGTGGATATTCCCGCTGCAGCATCGCAAGTATGGATTACTGCTGCAGCAACG